ATTTGTAATCGGATCACCCTTGGTATTAAATACGTATGTCCACTCTGAAACAGTAGGTTTAATGCTGAATCTAAAGTTACCTCATACAAAGATTTTTGACAAAAGTAATTGTAATTGCTGTTAATAATTTCGTAAACCTATACCTAATACTAAAAATAGATACCCAAAAACTCTAATTTAAATGTACGTCAATTTATGAATCAAACTTCCTTGTAACATTAATTTTCTTGTTTTCCTAATCGTTAGTGCTTCCTGGAGAAACAACCTTTACAAACCTTTACTTTCAAAACTTTATTTGAGTATTTGCGTATTCACTCAAGAATGGCATTCCATTGAATCAGAAAACGTTTATGGTTGAATCGTGTTTTCAAAATGGACAGAAGGTAAACGATGTGTGGGTGTACTCGATTCAAGCGGCTTGGGAGGAATCTCGGGAAGAATTGCCCAACAACATCATCAAATATGGCCAACAAACCTAGTCTCTCCAGTGAAAGGAGGGAAGTAGCAGGTCGAAAGTTAAGAGAAATTCAGAAAATTTTGGAAATGTTAGACAGGTAATAGAGCAGAACCCTACAACATCCATACTAGACTCAGCACAAAAAATGGAATTACCGATGAAACGTAGAGCAATATTATGAAAGAATTTAGCATTGTTTCCTTATCGAGTAACATGTGTGCAAGATTTTTGAGAATGAGAAGTAAAGAAAATTTTATTTAAGTCATTTAGGAGGCTACGTTTTAAATTTCTAGACAACTTTGACGATTTGGAAAAATTTAAGAATAAGGACAATGCTTCCAAGTTTTGTCAGTTGGGTTATATTTGGAAATGTACAAAGTGTTTAATCACATCGAAGGATAGGTAATTAATTAAATTTTAATCACTAATTTTCTAATTCTTTACAGTCAAGTCAATATAAATCGTCATCACTTTGGTGCATTTATTCAAAATTACAGACAATGTTGAAAATGAAAAAAATTTGTACCTACACAATAAATATTATTATTCTTATTGATAATATTTATTGTTGCCTAGACGACTTTAAAACACTACTGCTTTAAAGGCCCGATTGCGCACGCATCTGCGTGTTTTAATCAAGGATTATGATATAGGTATAATAAAAAATACTTTATAATATTCTCGGTTGAAACTCGCCAATATAAAAGATTTAGCACTCTTTCCTTATCGAGTTACGAGAATGCGATGTTTCACTCAGGATTGACAATTTATTGTGAGTGGTTTTTGGACAAATTTAATAATGTTGTTTTTTTTTTACAAGTGAAACCTAGTTTCATTTGAGTGACTACATTAATTTTCTCAAAATATGAAAATACGAGTACGAAAATCCACATGTTTACTCTTTTATCCTCAAAAATTGGTGGTGGGGTTGCAATTTGTCAATGACGATAATAGTCGAATGATTAAGTGGCTTATTCATGTAATCCTCTTCAAGGTAACCCAACCGTTGCTAAATATCAGCCAGAAATATTAACAGATTTTAGAACCCAATTTCATGACGATGAAGTGGAAATGGGTTATTTTCAACAAGGCCGGGCTACAAGATATTCGGCTAGAATCACAGTAGCAATGTTACGAGAATTTTTTAACAACCCAATCCGTAGTCGAAATAGGGAAAGTATCTGGCCCCCAAGATCTTGTGATCTTACTCCTCCACACTATTTTTGTGGTCCTATTTATCAAAGAACACTATTTGTCGAACGCCTGTTAACAATTTGAAGAAATTAAGGTTGAGAATAACATAGACAATAATGAAGGGATGTTGAAGCATGTGATCTATGGAATTAAGCGAAGAGATCATTGATGCTTACAACAAAATGGGCGACATTTTGAGCATTTTGTGCAATTTCATTTTGTTTATTTAATAGAATCAATTAATCGTCTACTAATTTTCCTTGTAACTTATTTTATTAAATATCTTAGTAAAAAGTATTCGCCATTATTACTTCTATATCTGTGATTTTTTGACATTTATTAGGGTAGTTTAATCACCGACATGCTATATCCTTTCCGAGGATGATTTGATTACCAATTATGTAGCTCTCGCCCGTTAGATTACTAGCCAACCAATCTGCAGGCAAATCTTTTTTTTTCGATATGCTAAAGAGCGGATTTTAGGCTAACAAAAGTCAAAATGGGCCCCAAAATAGGCGATAAAAAGAGGTAATATTATAACAAGGCCTTCGCAAGAACCATGTGCTTAGGAGTATAGAAAACTCAGAATTTAGAACAAATTAGACAGAAAAAAGTAAAATAGGTCGAAAAAATGCAAAAAAAACACTCACGATTAGAAACAGGCAACTAGGCAAAAAAAGACTCAAACAAAAAGATATTCTCAGATACACATTAGCCTACACCAGGGACAATCACTTTATCATATTCTACAAAGCTTATTTTATTTTACTTAATGATAATGAAAAACCTCTGAGACCTGAATAATGAAAATTATTAATTTAACGGGTAAGCTTCGATTTAAACAAACTAGTGACGTCATCGAACTGTTGCAGTTCTGTTTGTCAAACAAATATCATTAGAAATTCAATCAAATCAGTGCAACAGTGGTTTAAAATCTAAACGTTTATCAACAGAAATACGTGTAGTAAAATAGTGGAATTACCCCAAGTCAAACTTTTTCTCTTTGTGTGAGACAAAAAAACACCAATTTTTCACTAGGTTGTAGAGTCTTATCTCAAATTTTGAAATTTGTCTTTCGTCCCAGTCAAAAATGAAGCGATTTAAAGACCAAACAAAACAAATAAGTTTAAATCTGTTAGACTATCTTGATAGAAACCAAAACGTTTTAGAATTTAAGAAAAAAAGGATGACAGAACTGACCGCAGAAATGTTGGAAATTTCGGAAAGATCTGTCTACAAGCTACAAAAAAGTCCAGGTTTAAATGACTTTGAATAGAAGAAAAATCAATCCTGTAGATTTAATGTCAATCCGGGAGATTATCTATAAAATGGTAGTTTCTAAAAAATACATTACTATTAAATTGCTGCACGATCGAGTAATGAAAGATATTCATGATTTTAACGTTGGTCCTAGATCGTTAACCAACTGGATAAGCAAAATTGGTTTCGAGTTTGAAAAAAATAGTAACAGATTATTTTTGCTAGAATGGTCTTCAGTTCAATTAAAAAGAACAAAATTTTTACGTGAATATCACTAACACAAAGGAAAACATTATATGAACCTCTTTTTCTTGATGAAACGTGGGTATTTAGTAAGGGTAGCATATGCAAAAAGACATGGCAAGACGGTTCAATAAACACTGCTATTAAAAAAAATGGACAAGGGTGCAGATACATTGTGGTTCACGCTGGAAATTAAAACGGTTTCATTGAAGGAGCTTCTTTAATTTTTAAAGTTAATAGAGAATCAGGAGATTTCCATGATAACATAAACCTGGAAAATTTTGAAAAATGGTTCAAAGGACAGTTGATACCAAGTTTGCGGTAACCTTCTCTTATGGTAATAGATCACGTAAGTTATCATAGTAGACTTGACGTGTCAATTTAAGCTTCATAGGTATCCATATGTTGTAAAAAAACTTTACTTTATTTGTTGGAAGAAATTCGTCGAAAAAGTTGGACAAAGACAAAAATGATATTTAAATAAAAAATGGGATTGATTATTATCCACCGAAGACTATGAAAGACAAAATCTGGGGAATACTGGCTAACAAACAACCCCAAAAACGTTATCATGTAGATTTATACGCCCAACATCATGGGCACTAGGTATTGAAGCTGCCACCTTACCACTGTCATTTCAACGCTATTGAAATGGCATGGTCAGAAGTTAAAAGAAATTATGATACGATCATTCCAAGAACCAGCTCTTCCGCTAATGATGTTTGTGCAACTTGGCAAATTATGATTGATCAAGTTCCGGCTGTGCATTGGAACAATTACGTTAAACCTACTGATAAAATAATAAATTGTGCTTTGGAAAATGAAAACATTTTAGATATTTCAGAACAGAATGAAATTATTATTAATGTTAATAATTAGGATGATAGTGAGAGTGGAAGTGAGGATGATAACAGTAGCCTTAAACTTGAAACTTTTTCTTATGAAAGCTTCCCTTTTTTCGTTTTTTAATGAAATTCAATTAATTAAGTCATTAAATGGTTCAGTTTATGAAGAAGAAAAGTCAAAATTCACCATTTTTATAGTTGATGGGTTTAACATAATAGCAGAATATAATAGTTTTTCATGGTGTACTGTATTCATTCAAAATAAAGTTGTTGTATGAAATATAACAATTGGAAGCAGAGGACGTACGCTACTAACTAATGAATCTCCCAACTTAAAAATCCGATTTACAAAAAATTTCTCATATTAACTTTCCTTTTTTAGTATCTGTACTTTTCAATAATTATTGTGAATTTGATACTTAGATTTATACATAGCAACATATTCGTAACATAAGAAATTACTATGAAAGGTTACTAAATACATACTATACACGACTATACCAGAAGAAGTAGTTATATGGTATCATGGAAACTAATAATTTTTAACTTGAACTAAATTATTTCAAAAATAATGTTTTTAACAATAATTTAAAATACTGTCTAGGAATCGAAATATGTAAAATTGCAAAACTGATATTAACAATTGCAACATTATTACTTGTAATAATTAGTAACTGTTTCATTCTGAGCACTAATACAACTTAACGATATTTTTCAAACTAAAAAGAAAAAACTTGTAAATATCAACACTTTCGTTCAGGTATTTTTTCTAGTCGACCCTATTAACATTGTATCACACTTCTTATAAGTAGTGATAAAAATTTAAGTGTAAAGTTTCAAAGACTTCCAGTTCTTAGTTCTTAGGCTATGTATCTCTCTCGATTCACTGTTTTTTTATGATAGGTTTTGGTATGTAAATCATACTGTTTTGTAAATTGTATTAAAACTTGCTGCCCTAAATTATTTAGTATACTATTCTACATGTACAAATCGATCCTCACATAATGAGTTACCTTCAGAGCTTCCTCGTGAGAGATTCCAGTAAATGGTGTTCCGTTAACTTCTAATATCGAGTCCCCCGGCCTCAGTCCTGCACGTTCCGCCACGCTGCCTTCCTCCACCCTCGAAATGTAGACTCCCACGCCTAATTAAAATTGAAATACTGTATTAATCACAAGTAAATTCCTTCGAAATTTGATAAGGAATGCTCTAGCCGCAAATCAAGCCAAGATTAAATCCTTTGTAGCAGCGTGAGAGCATTCCCAGAGAATAAACCTAATAAACTGCAGTAAAAAATAATGGAAAAACTATTTTAACCACCCTGTGCAGGAATAAATATACAAAAATGTGTGCACGCGATATAAGTATTCATTTGAAATTCAAAGCAGATAGATGCTAATCCGGTTCATACCAGAAACCACTAAATTAAGTGTGTTTGTTCTATTTCGATAATTATTACTGCAGTACTCCTGATTCATTGTAATGCTTTTCCTAACATGTCACTGCGTTCATATCAAGAAACCCAACATTTCAACAAACACGAAAGTTCGCCTATCCAATTTCCATTTCAATCATTTGAATTTTAAATTAAACTTGCTATCAACGTGTTAATATGAACATCGGCGCTATCTTTTTGCAGTTCAGTTTTGAATTATAGGAAAGAATAAGTGCCTTCTCCGCGTAAAATGAGCTACGCTCTTTCAACATTTGGAAGCTGTGCAGAATGTATCTATTCAGATGCAAATTGCCCAAGTAATGCCTCCGAATTTCGATAGCTTCTGCCGCTTTTAGAATGTCTTAGTGCCATTTGTGCCAAGAGACGAACTTTGAAGTGCATGCAAGCTTTTCAAAGTGCAGCTGAGTTAATAAGTCGAGGTGCTAATAAATTCATTTCTGTTGCCAACGCCAAAACTAATTAAACTTGGAAACAAACGAACAGTTTATTGACGTCGGCACCAACCACTGAAATACGTAGATAAAGAATTTAATCACAAGCATAATATGCAGAGCTGCCTGTCTTAGACAAGGGTTTAACGATTTTCACCCTTTTCGCCACATACATAAGTACTTTTCAAAATGTTATGATTTTAAAAAATAATATTATCTTCAAGAGATCGTTAAAGGTGGTGTTATTATTGTAACAAAATAATAAATAGAGAGATAATTATATGTTTACAGCTAGATATCAACAACAAAAATCATGAAACATGAAGTTTGACTCATTCTAAATCTGTGATTAATTTTTCACCAGCACGTAACGTTTTCCAGGTGACAGAGCTATATTCAGGATGCCTTAGCGAAAATTACAATGGGAAAATGTACTGCAGTAGAGCTTTTTTCTAATAAAAACCATTCCCAGGGTTGGATAAAAAATATGCAATCTTGTATATAGGGTGATTTCGAACTATATGCAATAATTGTAACCACGGCATGACGTATCGTACTAATGTGGAAATATAGAAAAAACAAATTAAAAATATAAACAATAAATGTTGAAAACATTGTCCTTGACTAGCAATACAGGCTTCAACACGTCGCACGGTTTACATTAGAACTGTTTATTTGGTCATCTTCTCAATCGTAATATCTCTTTATTAATATTCTTTTTATTAAAAATGAGTTTAAATCCTTACAGTGTGTACAATGGAAGCGTTTTCGGTGTTTCTAAGGCATCAGTTTTTTATAGAAAAATCTATTTTTAAAGTTCTATCTAGCTCTCTATACCAATCAAGTTCCCATTATTTTTCAAATAATGTGTTACTAGCATTCAAAAGCTGCTTTGCCCGCTGTATTTTTGACAGTTTTGACATATAAATATTACACTGTAAAAATACTTTCTTATTGCTCTCCTAGGTAATAAAACAACACCACTGTCCAAATTTTCTATTTCTGGCCTTGTATTCATTTAAATTATTTCTACCAGATCAACCATATAAACACTTTTATCTTTTCAACCTTAAAACTTTCATCCCCGATTTTACATTCTTAGGGGATGAATATGGAAACATTATGAAATACGTACCTCATTATTTATACAGGGTGAATCACCAACCCTTCGGTGCTCGATATGTCATTAGTTATTATTAGAGATACAATAAAGAGTCACGAACCAAAGTTGTACTGTTCTTTAAGGACTGTACTCTAAAAATATTTTTAACTATACAGAGTGTTTTGATTTTCAGGTATAACACACAAATTAGTTTATTCTAATGTTTAAACAACCTATATGTTTCGACATATTCTCACTAGCAGACTTCGGCATCGCGGAAGTGATGCTCATTGCCGTCCGGTCGCCAGAGCTATTACAGTCGTGGCCTACAACTTCAGGAATTCTTAATAGCAATTACTACTTTTTCTAGGTTTTCCTCAGTTATACGTTTCCTGATAAATGTTAAAATGCTTTAAAAATTAAAAATGACTATTTAACATCACAATTTTCGTGATGACCCTGAATTCCATCAGACGCCACTGAGGTTGAGACTGCACAGTCGGCCAGGCAAATGTATCGCCTGACGTCGCGCCGTCATTTTTAATATTTGTCTGATTGATTCCCCATCACTTCGGCTGTGCCTAACTCTGCTCATTAGTGTTTTCCTAGGCTTTATAACTACATTTATTTTTGAAATTCCGATGCCACGTTGCCACGTTATTCCAATTTCCTTAAAACTTTTGAACAATGGCAGGGTTCACAAAAAATTCCAATAGGCTTACTTTTGAAGTATGTCTTACAATATTTTGTGCAAGAATAAATATAGGTACTTGCTTTGTTGTGGTATCAACTAAAAAAAAAAAAATATACAGGGTGTTAAAAAAATCTAAAACTTTACAATTTTCAAATATTGATATTTCAGTTTTTTCAAATAGAACATCCTATATTTTATTACTGTATCTTTTATTTTTTGTCCTCATTTTTCTAATGTGGCGATATATCTCTTAACAAAGTAAAAAATTGGAGTGACTATAAACTCTAAATATAGAAAATATTAAAAAAACAACAAAAAATAGAATAAGATGCGGAAATAGAATATAAGTTATTGTATTTGAAAAAAACTGAAACATCGATATTGGAAAATTGTAATAATTAAAGATTTTTTTTTAAACATTCTGTCTAAGAAAATTTCATTTCAGTTATATATACCTCAACAAAGCGAGCACTTTTATTTATTTCTCTTCTATTGCTAAAAAATTTCGAGAAAATTGACATAACGTGTCAACATATATAGGATGTTTCATTTAAAAAAAAATGTTTTGTGTTACGCCTTATAAACAAAGCACTCTGTACAGTTAAAAATAATTTTATAATATGTATAGTACTCAAAGGATCGTACTATTTTGGTCTTTGACTTTTTCTGTTATTTCTAACAATTAATGATATATCAGCAACCCGCGCTTTCAAACAAATAAAGTTCAACCCCTAATTCACACCCTTAGGGGTAGGATTTTCAAAAATTCGTTATTATTCCTCAACTAGCTCATAAAAAAAATCTACTGTTAATCATTTATAGTAATTCAACCAAATCAACCATATCATTTTTATCCTTTCACTTTTGATCCCCGATTTTACAACCTTAGGGGATGAATACTGAAAAATTATCAAATACTTGTTTCATTATGTATATATTGTAGAGTATTTGTACACCGCTTCAAGCAAATAACGTTCACCCTCTAATTCACACTCTTAGGTGAGAGGTGGAATTTTCAAAAATCTACTGTTAAAATTTCGTGTTTCTGGCTTGAGTAGTTTCGGCCCTTTGTTGATGAATCAATCAATCAGGAGTTCTTTCTTTATTATATTAGTATAGATAGAAATTGTTCCATTTTTTCCGTTTTACAATTTGTTTACTAAATGTCTTTATTTTTGTTCTTGTTACCGAAATCTAGAATAACTTTCAGGCTTGTCTATAACAAAATTTTGAGTTGAAAATTCAACGATCAAAAAGAAACTTTCAAACTCCACGGCTGTCCTTGATCCTATTTTTATTGCTCTCTCGATAAAACTAGTAAATAGTTGATGGTATTTTTTTTGAGAATGTATTCATTATAACCTCGCTCTTTTTAACATATGTTTTATTGACAAAATACGATCAACAAGTAACTCAAGGATTTCTGCTCAGACACAAAAAGTTCTTCAGACACATCCTGTTGTAAAGGACAAATGGAATGTGAGAAAGATTCTTCAGTTAAAAGAAATTTACATTAACTTGAAAATTTTGTTCAAGACAGTTCAATTTAATAGATGGCAAAATTTTGCCTCACTTAAGTATTTAGAATGGTTACTGTCCTGTTGAACATTATATTAAGCGTAACTGAAGGTCAAGGAAAGGATATAAACTATGAAAAACAACGTGTGTTATTGATCCCACGAAGATACTCCTTCCATTTTTACACATAAAACTTGAACAGAAGCCACGAACAAAACCAGCTCGAAAGCTATTGAAAAATTATATTTTATAGCAACTCAGACGGCTAAGAACAGAGAGTTTGGGAAACTTTTAAAACGGTCTTCCTAAATGAAAACATGTTATTGAAATCGGTAAACTTTTTGACATAATAACACGTGATTTTTGCATTTTCCAGACGGCTCAGTTAAATCTTTTGACAAACAGTATGTACCAGAAAAAAATCTTAAAATCAGATTCAATTTAAATTAAAAATTTTCGCTTTTATTTTTGTAAATAAAAAAAAATTCCTACACCAATTACGAAAGTAACAACAAAATAAATTCCATTTTTAAACCCATAGCCGAAACGCATTGTTAACCACTTTAATCATATAGCAGGGTCTTTCAGGAACGGTAGAAAAATTGCCCGTTCAGTTGAAAAATGTTTACGAATGTATTCCTTGAAAACTTTTTGAATTAATAATTATTCAAGATGTTAAGTTCTGTGACTAAAACTAATATCAGACAGGCAAAATTTCCTTGATTTGATTAATATTTTCTAATACACGGTTAACCGATAAATTAAGCTGTTTAAGAGTTAATTTATTAAATTCGTTCGCTAACTACTTCAAAGCAGGAAAAAATAATGAATTATTAAGGCAATTATTAAACATATCGATTTTCTTAATGGACAATTAATTGACGCGAAACCTTCATGCGCCCATTATACCAACTTAAATTTGTAGTGTAATAACGATTCAATTAAAAATCGAAACAATAATTTCAAACTTTGCCATATTTAAATTTATTTAAATACCTAAGTATCATTTTTATCTATCTGCCTAACCTCTAAATATTTCGATGATCAACAATTGTTGCTTGAAATTGATAAAATTTTCACCTGAAATTACTTCCCGTAGCCAAAATTTACAAATTGCCAACTCAAGCAGTATTTGTTGACCACGCTGTAGTTTTGTTTTTCGTGGAAAACGGTTCAAAGAACGTGTTCGTGTTTGACTAAACCAATTATTGTTACGAACATAAAACATGACATAGCCAAAGTAGAAATCTAACCTGAGTCTTTTCCTCCTTTGACGCAAATTCCAAACCCATGCGTGCCATCCTGGGGGTCCCTAACCATGGTAACAGTCCTAGTCGACAGTTCGTGTATGCTTGGCCCATAAGGAGGCCGATAATTAATTTGGTGGGTTGTGGAAGGAGGACTACTAGCTGGAGACCTTCGCGGCCTTTCCGGATTTAATTTAGTATTCGACTGATTATTGCTACCAAATAAACGAAGAACTTGCTCTGGAGATATTGGCCGCTTCTTGTTGTTACTTGGTGTTGCTCTACTTGCAGTGCTGAAGTTAGGATTCGATCCCAAATACGTACCTACAAGGAGAAATAAAAGTTACAAAAAAAAGTGAAATAGTAATCGGATAAAAATATATTTCATTATCTCTGATAAATGTAACTGAGAGTAAAAATACCACTTGTAATAAATTAGTCATGTAAATACTGTGGGAACTCTTTTTGTGTTGTAGTTATTGATTGAATGAAAACTATCGAAATATATCTAGACCAGCTAAATTTGGCGGAGGCGCCGGGTTTCCAATAGTGTCTGGAAAGTTTATCTTGAACGTCGCCTTGTTTTTTTCGTCAACTATAACCAGTATAAACATTTAAAGCTTTCTAATAAACATCAAATTAAGTTGCAATGCAAAATATTTTAAAGGAAAAAATACATTCACCAAACTTAGTTATTTAATATGACAGTAATATAACATACTATAATAATAGCAGTTATTTATTAAACAAATAGGGAAATTTTTACTAAAATCCTGTAAATCAATCTAATGTCAACGTAATGGTGAAAATTTTATTAAAAACAAATTAATGTCGCAAAACTAAACTCCAAACCGAATTCGAACGTGGAGTTCCAATTCAAACCAGTCGGATAGCGGTCGTGGCCCGCCTATTAGACGTCGGTTTATTGAGTCGATGAAGTTAAAGCAACATGCTTTAGAATTAAACCTTGGATAGGTTAGCGCTTAAACACAAGCAAGTAGGTTAAACAGCAGGACAACGAAATTCTCACTTACTAGTGAACAAACCAATTTAGATGCAGAGAACGATTAAATAAATATTACCTTCTTTATAAGTAGCAGTATAATGGTACATTATTCATCGAGCTTAAAATGATGGCTATTACTCATCAAGATGGAGTTCAACGCAGTACAATTGAGTAGAAGCCATTACACTCACGTAAAATACTACGACTACTACGAGTAAGGATAGCAGTAACAATCGTTATTTTATCTTTATTTGATTAAAATTGTTATATACTGACTGCGCCAGAGTTAAACAGTAGATGGTAGTGTAAGACAAGATTTTAGCTACGAAACTAAGTACTTTATTTTTAATACTTATTTTTGTCGGATGCTACGTCAGAAATGACGATTTAAAAATATTGTCGTGTCGGCCGGGTTTCGCGTTTGAAATTGTTTCCAACATTAAATAATAATAATCATCCCCGCATTGTTAATGGTCTAACTTTCGTTGATAAATCAGCAGGATATGCGGTGATAATATTTTCAGAAAAGGAATTAACTTTTCCTACCGCTCCATAAATCGTATATAATTATTTTTGTAATGATTTTTGACTTTTAGAATAACAGTTCTGAAGTTGAATTTTTTGCTATGAACATGAGTACTCTATGGAGAGTATTAATATGATTCATTGGTTTGTCTGTCGAGATCTCTTTTTCATAATAGTTATTGTCAAATTACAGTGCTTGTACCACTGTACACCATTCCAACAAGCTACTACGGATTACTTTTTATTTTTTGTAGACTTGCTATATTGATCCAACCTTTTGCTCTGAAAAAATGTGACATCCTTATTTAACTATTATTTCTCAGTTCAGTTCCACCAAACTTAACAAACTAACAAAATATTTAAGAGAAACTCTCTCCTGATGATTGGGGATTGTAACATGTACGTTGTTTTCACCGCGCTGGTGAGCTTGAAGTAGTTCAATTCTTCGGTTGTCAAGTTTGAAATATTCGACTGCCTTCACATATCGCTTCGACCACTTCTCTATTGCACTAATATTTAGTACAAGACATTTTATCAGTAACCTTTCACGAAAAGGTTCTCTTTTCTGATAAATATATTGAATGGCTCAAGATATTATTAGATGAACCACTGTGGAATGCAATACGTTCTCAAAAATTTGTGATGTAATAACGACGAAACTCCTTTGAGCCCTTTTATACAATTCTGTCTAAATAACTATTCCGCTATACTATTTTTTCTACCGCGCACGTTTTTTCGCAAATATTTAATTGAAATTTGCGTTTTTTTAAATCTGGGGAATTTTGTCGTGGTTGTCGATGGGTCGGTCTGACACGTACCACGAAATATTTGAAGTTCGAATTTTCACAATAACAACTGTAATTCGGATCAATTCGAGTTAAAATTGGTTAAAATGTCTTGTGAAGAAGTTAGTGAAGTCCTTACGCCTCCCGAAATACGGGAAATTTTAATTTGACATTTGCCACTGACATTTCTCGTCATGGCTACCAATCTTACGGATCTAAATTACACCAGATCTATTTCAGAACCCCTTTCCGGTATTAAGGAACCGCTATGACGTCATTTGGGTGCTTTAATAGCTTTATTAGAAAATCACAAAACGTGCGCGGTAGAAGAATAAGTTTAACATCTCTAAAAACACATCATTTCATTAAAAGCATCTGATTCATTGTAAACATTAACTTTTACTGCCCTATGTACAGATAATTAGAAAGTTCAACTAGCATCTACATTTTCTTCATCAGACAAGCAGTTACGTCTAAATATTGGGAGTGACAGTTAAATTAGTAATTTCTAACAACAACAAGTATGTTCCCAATATCCCAATTAAGTCTTTAAGTGGTTTTAAGACAACTTGCTCTTAAATGACTATGCAAACTGTCCCCCTTAAAATTCCGCCTCCTTATGTCTTAAGAAGTGAATGACTACCACCATTTTGCAACAGTAGGAATATACACCAAAATAACTGCTTTTTAAGCAGATCTTGTTAATTATAAAACAAAGTGTACTATTTAAAAAACTATAGATTTCCGTCCTGATGTCACCGCCATATGTGCATCATATATACAGTTATGCAGTGTACTAAACTGAGCTATCCCTTTCAAGTTAAAAACAATTATGTTTACAGAATTTCAATATCTCTATATACTCTCAAGATATAATGCGGCGGAGTTTTAACCGGAACATCTTGTGTATAGCAATTAACTGCTTTAAGATATGAAGATTTTTCTTCAATAGCTTATTTGATACCAAACCACAAAATAAGAACTCAGATAGTTAGACCGGGTGTCTGGCGGATTAACTCTCCGCTACGCTCTTAATAATCAAATGTTGAGTCTGGGAGAAATAGTAAAAAAAATCCTTCTCACATTTTGATGGAGTTATAATGATTTTAAAATTGGTGCTTCTGCTACGCTTAACAACTAAACAACTCATTCATTATCACAATAACTAATAATAAAACTTTTAGTTAATATTTTTCTCGCCCATACCATATTTAATTACCATTTCAGTTAGAATGGTAATTATAAAAAAAAAAGATATGGTTGTGTTGTTTTTGTAATAATTTGATAAAATTCCATTTGACAACAATCTTTGATATAAAGCGAAGGAATTTTTTATTATTTTTTGGGACTCCCGAAACCCCCGTATAACGTACTGAAGAATTAATCCGCCATTTTCCACGCGGTATAGTGGAGCTTCTAGACCAGGTCAAATGAGGTCAAATTGATCCAGCAGCCCCATTACTTTTTATCGATCGATCGACCTCTGAGGTTCGTCAGCATCTTGTCCTCTGTTGAGCTGACCTCGGTCGGGTTCGGGTAGTGTCGTGCAGAGCGATCATTGACCCTTGATTCGGGTAGTGTCGTGTCGGCACGTGTCGGGGACAGTCGTAGCGTTTGTCACTGTCTTGTCCTCGGACGATCCCGATACGTGCCGAGCACGAAAATACCCGAACCCGGCTTGGTTTTTCAACCACAGTTGAAATTCCGATTCGACGTTAAAGTTTGTCCAGAATTATAAATAAGAATTTTATGGACTCCCAACGTTAATTCGTTTTACAGCCCAGGCGTCAATTCTTTTTGTACAGGTAAAGAGCATGTCAAGGGAAAGCCGATGTTTTCTGTACCTGAGTTCGTCCCGCTCTTCAGCTGTACAATAAAATTGACAACAGGGCTGTAAAACGAATTAACTTTGAGAGTCTATAAAATTCTTATAATTCTAGACAAACTTTACCACGTTATTTCAATTTTCTTGAAATTTTTAGCGAATGTATAAATGAAATTGAATTTTCATCTGTAGAGTGTTTAAAAAAATTAATTACTTATTAAATTTTTCAAAGATCAATATTTCAGTTTTTTGAAATAGAACAACCTGTATCTTATTACTGTATCTTATTCTACTTTTGTTCCCTTTCTTTTTACTCCCCGAGCGTAAACTAAGGAAGTATAGTAATCGAGTCCATCGGACGAATGACCACTTTTATGTTTTCCTGACGTTTCATGACTAAAAAATTAAATTACGAAAAAAGTAGTCTCTCATTTCCGTTTGTCTGTCTGTCTGTCTGTCTGTCTCATGTCGGTATCCATTTTTATTATACATATTCAGAACATTTTGTTCGGTTCTGGCTTAATTAGTAATTATATTTTAGACTTCAATTATTTTTCTCTTTTACCGACAATTTTTGTGTTGGTAAAATGTAATTTTACCCAACTTTATGTCATTTTTACCCATATTTTTTATAACCATGGAAACCGAAGTAGAAGTACAAATGGAAATATTTACTCTAAAATTTTTCATATTTGCTTTCCGACTTGGTGGGAAGCAAACTAGATGTTGCTTTTGAAGCTTCCAAGGCTACCTTATCTAGTGAAAACGCGTTTTCATAAAAAGTTTGACGTGGAAAATAATAAACAATGATTGCTACGTAAAATCCACAGTCAACTACAGCATTGAAAGGTTGCGGCATTTTATTATTTTTAAATATTAAAAAAAAAACGATAAAAGCATAAAATAAAATTTTGTATTCCACTCGAAGGGAAACGAAAATTTACCTTCTTGTAGAATAAATAACTACTAATCTTCTGTTCTGAGGAGACAAATTCATTCAAATCAAACTAATTTCAACGTGACATTGTTTCGATGCATAAACAGTAAACACTTGAGCTTCAGACTACTATTACCTAGTGCTGAAGGACATTTTATCCCGTTAATTGTGTGCTTTAAATATATTTTACATTGTCCTTACGGCACAGGGGCTACGGGGGTATTATTTATGCCACTAGTTTTTACT